TAGACCATTTTAACCTCCTATTATATTACCAACACTTTACCACTTTTTGAACTGTAGTCATTGCTTTTTCTTAAATTCTTGAATGAGGAACTAATAATAGTTTATTATAATATTAGATTATACTAATATATTGCAATTCTTACTATAATAAATGCTCAAATCGGTGAACGCAGAATGCAGTTGAAATAGTTTATTGGTACAGCAGTTGAGTCTCCCTCTCCTCTAAGAAATCAGAAGGCAACATAGTTATGCTTCCTAATATGATGTACTAGTTCTGCTTGACTTTTTTTTTTTTAAGTTATTATTAATGACTGTCGAATGGATAAAGGGGATAGGAATGAAACCTGATGAGTCTTTAATTAAGACAAATAGTTATAGAATTTGTAAGGCTGAGTATTTATTCTGATTTTGAAATATGGGAAATAAACTAGAAATAGAATGTAATCAGTTTATATTGAGAAACTCATGAGTAAACTTAAATACTAGTAGTGTCAGACTTCTTTTCTGAGCTTCATAGAACAGCAGTAAAATTCTAGTTCACTGAGCGTGGCTGAATATTTTACCTTGTAATTGATATCAGTTGGTAATACATCTGCATTTGGTTGAGTGGCAGTGGGGATTATCCCAGTGAATCCCAGGAGCTTGAGGGAGGCTGGGCTGGAGGAGCAGGAAGCCTCTTGTCTCTGAATGGATTTGAGTTTAAAGTGAGAAATCCATTGGCCAAGGCTTTTCTGTTGTGAAATGCCTTGCTTTTTCTTGATGTAATTTTATGTGTCTACTTTGATCAGTGCTTGAGCAGTTAAAACTGCTTAAAAAATGTGTTAAAGCAGTGATTTCTGGCTTACGATTAGGTGGACTCCTTTAATGAATATGCATTTAGAAAAACCCCTGAAATTATTATTTTGTCCAGTTTTGGAATAGCAGAAAAATGTAGCTGTCTTTTGGAGGTATCTGTCAGTAACAGTTATTTCATAATTTCTGTATAGCACTGATTGTTTGTATGTCTAGTACAACACAATTTGACTCTGCTGCTTCCTACCTGACTGTTCTCTAAACAGGATGTTAATTTTCATCAGTGTTAGTCTGTAAATTAATTACAGAAATATGAAATCATGGGTAAATGTGTGCTCTGTGAGCAAGGCCGGTAGAGAATTACAGGATAAGGTGACAAGATGAATCAGTTCTGGAGAGGTTAATGTTGTTATTTCACTGTTGTGCAGAGAAAGCGGCTTTTGGAACTCAAGTTAAAAGTTATCCCTGTCCTTTTGATACAGTTACATGGGGCTTCTAAAATGGGACACGTACCATTCTCTTACTTCTGTTCTGCTTTATATATATATAACGCTTTTCCATCATTGGTTAATGAAGGAATCTGCTATCCATATCTTCTGTGTTTTTGTGATGGTCTGAACTGACTCATCCCTTAGGTCTGTGGTGCAAGAAAATGTGTTTGAAAGCTGCTTGTTTCTTCTGTCTCTTTCTGTTCCTCCCCCCACTGCTTGATTTGACATTTAATTCCTTATTCCCTCTCCTGGTTTTTACTATCTTTTAGCAGTTTTCAAAGTGCGTTATCCCCCTGCTTCTCACGTGAGACTCTAGGTTTCTGTGCTGTTTACTCTTGTCTGTCTTCTTCTGTGGTGCCCCTGTGAAAGGTGAAGAGGTGAGTTGTGCATCAAACTGTAACTCTAGATAAGCAAATGCTTGGTTCTGTGTGGTATGAATAGTGTCAGGATGCCTGTGAAAAGTTCCTGAGCTCTCCGAAGCCACAGGAAAACTTATTTTGTTGACATGACCAGTTTTTGCTGGGCAGTTGGGACTTAGTTTCCGTAGTTAATTCTGTCTTCTCTTAAGACTTTCCAAGTTGGCAGATGTACTGGTTCATCTGAGACAAGAAAGAGGGCAGGTTACTTGAAGAGGACGATGCAAAGGCTTATGATAACTTAACTTACATTTTTCTTTCTTAGAATTATTGTGAGAGTTGTACTGGAACCATGTTGCATGCTTTTACAGGTAACTAAGACATCACAGGTACTGAAAACCGAAGGTACAAGGCCAATGATAATGTTCTGTTTTTCTGAGACCGTACATAGAATAGGTTATGGTGGACTAAAACATCAAGTTAACACTACTATTGTAGCTGTGATAATGAGGATTTGGAAGGATGCTCTCTCTGCATATGTGGGTTTGTAGAAGTTGCTGCTCTCTGATGTCATTATCCTGGTAAAGGTGTATTCTGTACTTGAATGGCTGGTTCCCTTCCCTGGGGTAGCTTTATGGCAGTGCAAAACCCATCTTTGTGGGGCTTACAGTCATTCTGGGAGTGCTTTGGTGGTCTAGCATGCAAAGATTTGTGTTGAAGTGCTCATAGTGTTTATGTAACTTAATAGATTCTGTTCTAATAGACTCAGAGGAACGTTTTTCCTTTGGTCTTGATAGGAGAAGGAAAGATGACTTTTCTTGCTCTTTTCTTCTTGGTATTTTTTTTTTTTTTTATACACTGTTGTTCCCCCTTTTGTTATTTGTAGAGCTGTACTGCAGTAACCACAATGATGACTTCCAAGGTAGTAATCGATAAAAGATGGCCTGATAACAAAGGCTGAAATAGATGATTTGTACCTGAACAATAAAAGGACAATGAAATTATGATGAGGACGGCACAGGCTCAGAATGGACATCGCTGCACATAAAGCCTAGACTTGACTTCTAAACCCAAAGAGATTGCTGAAAACTTGTCAGTTGGATGGAGAGAAGCACTATCTCTAGGGCCATCATTTTTTAAGGGGCACAGCATCACTTCTGTCTGGTGCTCTGCTTTTTCTCCTGAATGTATAACAAGTATTCTTAAAATGGACAAACAAAACTGAGAATCAGTGAAATTAAAACGTACTATGATATGTGCAACTCTGATTTTTTTTTTTTTTTATTGTATGTTTTCCAATTCTATTGTTTTCACATGCAGTTAAGTGCATCATCTTTCCCTACTAAGCAACTTGAAGAGGGAAAAATGCTTTGTAAGTGGAAAAGCAGTATTGTTAAATCATTTAAAAATCAAACAAAACAGGAAGGTAATGGACTGGTGCAATACAAGTCGATAAGATAATCGTCTGAGATTTTGGCAATTTCTATTTAGGGCCTCCTTTATTTTTAACACTACTATTGAAAACATTGCGGTGGTTGGCATTCTGTTTGCTATTTCTCTCATCCTTTTCTTGTGGTGAAGATAAATTGGAGAGGGAAGGTGAAGAGATGTGCTTCATGATTACAGAAGGGAGGCTTTCCATTTGTTTCGTGAGGGAAGGGATGCAGAGGCACTTATGGGAGATGTAGGAGATGGAGTTGGGGCAGAAGTGAGGGCTGTAGTGATGTGCTAGCTTAAAATTATTTGGGACAGGTGTTGTTAATCTGTAACGATTTAAAGAGTTTGATCTTTGTTCTGGCATGGAGGCAGTGTCAGTAAGAGTTATGCACGAGTACGGCAAAGGAAGGCTGCCCAAGCAAAATGTTTGAAGCTCTGTAAATCATAGGCAATGATTGCTTCCATCATGTCCAGGTTTATTTAGCTTGAATAAAGAGATAAGCACAAGAACACCAGTCAGTTCATCAGGCTGTGAAGACAATCCTGGAAGTACTCTGTGATGGGAAAAGACAGAGGTGTTATCCATGTGGGGATATTGAAAAAGGGCTAAAACAAAATGCCCCTTTAAAAACAAAGTAGTGACTTGAACGAATTTGGGGTGTACAAAGCTACAGAAGTCTGAATAATCACAGTTTTTAAAATACTGTGCACAAATTCATACGACTTTTGCTAACCCTATCTAGAGGAACAGTAGCAAATAGCATGCATTCCAAATGCCCGTGTTAGTGATATTAGCCAGATTTAGGGCTGTTTTTCTTTTTTTAGTAGAAGCTAAGGGGGTAACCTGTGTTCATGTGACGTTTACTTGAGTCTGTTGTGAGTCATAGCAAACTGTCCTCCATATGAGCCAGGAGGTTGCTGTCCTTCCCCTCTTGGCAAAGAGTTGAAGTGTTAATTGGTTGTTCGGTGTAATAGTATAGATTTCCCCAGGGAAGTAGAATTCAAGATCTGTGCTGCTGTGAAAGATAGGTTTATTGGGGCAGGAAATAATTATGTTTCCAGCTCTTGAGATACAACACACTAAGTTCAGAACATCTCCACTTCATTTTATATATTTATAAAATAGTTTATTTTTGTTTGTATTATCTTGTAGTCCTAGCAGTTGGTTTATTGTGGAATGACTTGTGTTAATCAAAACTTTTCTTTTAAAAAATCTTTGTGGTTTCTGGATTTCCACTGGCTGAGTATTTCATCATCCTAAATATATGACCAGCAGTAAAAAATGTTTCTTCCTTTTTAGAATTTATTAGCAGAATGACCAAATAGAATTTAGACTTTACTTCTCTTGCCTCCTAATTGTTTTCTTACACGTGAGTGTTCATACTTGCTACCTAGTACTTACTGGGAACTGAATGTTTAATTCCCTGGCCAGTTTTCAAAATTATACTCAACATCTATATGTGGAATATTATCACAAAGATGAAAATACCATGGTATCTTTAATTGTGCTCTTTCCTCTGCAAAAACAGTGTTACCTTTTCAGAAGACTAGTTGTGGGGAATTAGCATGAATTTTGAGGTTATAAATGGGGAAAAAAAAGGGGAGGAGCCAAAATCCCCCAAAGAAGCAATCTCATACTTCTTTACTAGAACCTCTTCTATTAAAAACTCCTTTCCTTGCCTTCACGTCTTGTGTGAATCTCACCTTTAATCTGAAAGAAACATGAGTAAAAGAATAGCTCACACATGCCCTTGAAAAACCAAACCTAGTGATCAAAATAACAGTACCTTATAAAACTGAGTTTTTACAAAACCCTCATTTGATTATTCATGATCTTGATTTAAGAGCAATCTGTGCTCTTCAAGTAAATGCATGGAAAAACTCATTAACAGAAATACTATATGATTGCAATTTCTCTGAACAGGTACTTTGTGCTGGACTTTGAGACGGGGATTCTGCAGTATTTTGTGAATGAACAAAGTAAAAACCAGAAGCCACGAGGAACCTTGTCTTTAGCTGGAGCTATAATATCGCCCAGTGATGAAGTACCACATATGTTGGTGGTCTACTCTGCTAATGGAGAGATGTATAAGTTGAGAGGTACAGTACTACTTAAAGTGCCAACTGAGTCGTTCTCTCCCATTCCCACTTCTGCATCTCTTCTATCATATCTCACTTCTCTTTTACTTCCCTGTACTGCCAGAAAGTAGTGGTTATACAGCTATATTATTGTATACTATACAATAAAACACGGTGGAAGAGTAATCTGGAGTTAAATACCTGCGAATTTAAAATATATAGACTTCCAGGGCTGGAAGATACCTCAAGATGCCTTCTATAAGCTGTTACTGTAGCACTTTGATTGTATGGGATATCTTGTTTGCTTCCAAAGGAAGATAAAGCTGCTTTCATTGCTGTCCACAGGACAGCATTTAATTTCTAATAATGTTCTACCCTGCCACCATCCCGCAGACAGTGTGCAGTAATGAATTTGCTGATGGGTTGGAGAAGGAAGACTGTTAAGATACTCTGTTCTTGTCAATCTTTGAATAACTGAATGCACCTTTAATATAAAATTTTGTCTTTCCTTCTCCTAAATGTAAGACAGACAATATAGGGTACAGAAGAGTTACTTTGGAATAATTAAAATAAAAATTAAAGAATAAAAAAAAATAAAAAAAGCAGTATTCTGGTTCTAAGGTATTTTCAATATGGTTGATTGATCAGGATACTTTCATATTAAATTAGGTTATTAAAAAACCCGAACTGATATAAAAAAAGTGACATGTAATGCAGTGTTAACAAAAGTTTAAAAATATGTTAATTTTATTCTGAACACAATTTATCAGTTGTCTAGCAGGACAGAGTATGCAAGACTCCTCTGTGGTACAGTGTGTTGCTGTTTCATGCATGGAACTGAAACAGGAACAATCAGGAAGAGCTTCTGTTAAAATGTTTTGAAATTTGCACAGCTAGAAATCATGAACGCTTGTGGTTTCATTATCATGCTTTTTCAATCACTTGAGATAAACAAATACACATAATATGCTGCTTTTAATTTAATGAGATCTGTGAATTTGATTCAAATCCGTAAATAATTTTTATGCTGAGTTCAGTAACCATTGAGATACTCAATAGCAGAGAAAGTAAGAGAAAATATGTACTGAAATTATCCACTCTGTATTGGTATCTTAATTGGGATTACTGTAGTAGTGGTTTGTTTAAAACAAAACCAAACCTCTTTCTAAGTAGGAGCCACCTGATAGAGACTGCAGACAATCTTTTCAATAATTTTTAAAGATGTATAGGGGAAATTGTCATTTTCATTCTTGTCTCTTTAAGGTGCATGCTAATGACACAGGTGTACAGAGAGATTTGGTTGTACTAGGTTAAAAGAGAAGTACTTAAGTATCTGGGGAAAGGGTAGCTTGTCTGGTAGCTGATTGACAGCCTAAGTGTGAGAGTTTTACTGATTTAAATGTTGCAGGGTGGCCCTTGTCCTTCACAAAGAAAGACAAGTAAACCAAAAGTGGATTAAAAATTTTAAAAATGGTCATCTTGAGGTAATTCTGCTTTTAATAACAGCTAGAGGAGGTAACTATGAAGACGACTTACAAGCTTATCTCTTCCAACTGGCAACAGCATCTTGATTTGAGATTTAGATGTGTCATGTTGAAGAATTTACACATAATTAATGCAAGTAGCATAAATTAGGATTTGTAGTGCATCCTAACCAATAAATAATCTCCCCTCTTGCCCCACCCCCCCCCCCCCCCCCCCCCGCAAAAAAAAAGTATCGATTTATGTGTGATTCCCTGCATTTTTCTTGTTTCTGTTCTAGCTGCTGATGCAAAGGAGAAACAGTACTGGATAACACAGCTTCGATCCTGTGCCAAACATCACAAGGAAGGTAATTCTAAGGTAAATAATTAAGAGAGAGAAGTAACTATTATGTTTTAAGTAGTGTAGGTGAAGAACAGCATGGTCTGGATGATAGACTGCTGTAGTTAGCAGGTGAATGTTTAGAGGTTTATGAATAAAAGCAGCAAGCTGTCATTTGTCACTAGCTGAAGAAGGCTCAAGTCAACTGGGCAATCTTAATAAATAAGCATTATCCTATTTATGATAAATTAAGTGCATTTTGGATGCTGTCAATACATGGTTAATTGAGTGACTGGATCAACAGTTTATTAATAAATACCTGTGTGATGTTCTGATTAGTATTTAAAAGCGTTAACTGATACCAGTTTTATTTCATTTTAAAAGATTTAATGACTCTTTTTATAGAAGCTTGAGGTAGGTGTTAGCAGTGGTCAGTCTTCAGCTTCTTTACCAGATCTGAAAGAGGTCATCATATGAAGATTTACGGTATTTATTTCTCTTTGGAAGTGGTGTCAGAATTTTTGTCTGCAAATAGATAAATATTTTGGACAGGTAAAAAAATGTTTGGACTTCAAAACTAACAGAACGATGGGTTGAGGGTGTCCCCTGCCTCCAAGTAGAAACGACATGAGTCTGTTTAAATTAGAATGCACTTTGAAAGTGGGAGATATTAAAAACAAACAAAAAACTCCTATTGAAAATAAATTATTATTGTATTTAATTTATGTATGCTTTTGGTGTTAATATCAAATCACTAAAAAAGAAGTCCTGCTCTTCAGTCTTTTAAGCACTTCTATTGATATCAATACAAGAATGAAAAAGTTTGCTTTCCTCGTGACTAATTGTTTGCTATATTAAAAAAAAAAATGCATATAACAACAAACAGAAAGGATTCCTCCCTGCCCCAAGATGTTAAGAATATCAGTCTTATGTTAACTGTAGTCAAAATTATAATCCTGAGTATCTTTAAAAGCTGGACTTTGAAAAAATGGATAGTATTTTGAGGGGACTGACATTCACTGAAGTGTGTGAAGTAAAATAAAAATAACTTCTTGTTCTTTTTGAGTGATCTGGTCTTGTCAGGAAGGCAGGTATGGTATAATTAAAGCCCTTTTTGAAGGAGAATATATAACTTCAGTATTTCAGTACTTTTTCAATTCTTATGCATGGCAATTAAATACGGTTTTTATACAGCTGTGGCCCAGTAATATTGAGAAAGGTACAACTCTGTGTGATCAAGATACTCCTACAGTTGCTGTTGATTTGCAGCTCAGGGTCTTCTTGTGCTAGATAAACTCTTTATACTCAGTTGCCATCAATGAATTACTCCTCAATAAATTTTCTGGTTGCTTCTTGAACACTTAAATACTGGATTTGGATTTGTTTTTCTTCTTTTGCTTGCTCCTGGTAAATAATTCTGTATAGGTGTCTATTTTAATGCCAAAATCTCATTCCAGAGTGGCAGTAATTGAGTTGAAGCCAATCTTTGTGTAAGTGAAGTTTGGATCATTTTTCCTCCTTAAGTAAAAACTCTTGCACTTAGTAATAATTTATGTTGAGAATTTTTCATCATGCCTCTCCATGTTGTGCTCCAGCTCAGGTAGTAGTAGCTACATATTTTGATAGACTGAATTAATTGGTATGTCAAGACAAAAATCTTGGTGTTGTAACAATGAAGATGTCCAGCAATTAGTACTGCTCCAAAAAAAGCAAGTAGAATTTTAGGAATTATCAAGGAACAAAAGGGAAATAATACTCAAACTGTCAAATCCTTGTCTTGAATACTTTTATCAGTCCCCTTCCATTTCTGAAATGGAAACATTGGAGTGGGTGAAAGTAATTCTCATCACTTCTGTTATTCTTTTGTACACAATGAATCGTGTGTGACAAAACTTGACTACACTGGAATCTTTTTTTTTTTGATGATGGGAAAGGAAAGAATAAATTAAGGAAGTATGGTGTTAGTAAGTGCATTGGAGTGGCTGAATAGGAAGTATTTGCTAGTTGTTAATAAAAATACCTGTATGGGGAAGCCTCAAAGAAAACGAGCTGAAAACAGGTTAAAAATGAAAGGAGATGAAGGAAAATTGGCAAGTATTATGGGATGCTTTGGATGCCAAAAGTGTATGTAGATTTGAAAAGGGTTTGAAAGGCAAAGTGTTATTAGAAGGTCTTGATTGAGTGGGAGCCTATTAAATGCAAACCCAGCATCTGTCACAGGAGATGCAACATACAACTTTCAGAAACGGGAAGGACTTATATGGGGAGCATCTCTCTAAACTTGTTCTTGTGGTCTTGCACAGTGACCTACCACTGCTGTGGCTTTCTTCAGGTTCTGAGGCTCACTGTGCAAGAAAATAAAAGGATTTTCTTGACTGAGGGGTGGTGGGCATACGTAACTGAGGAACCAAACAAAAGATTATTTCAGATAGCAGAAGGAGGGTTCTTGCATTCTTCTTAGACTGATGAGTTACAGAAACTTGGCATAAGATGCTGGAATATGGATGCATTTTCGTTGATACAGCCAGCCATACATTTTAATTAGCTTGGATCCATTTAAGAAATGCGGAAGAAAACTAAAATATTTTTCTCTTAGTTCTGTGTTACAAGTCTACATCTAAAATCAAACTAGTTCACTTCTCACTTGATGTGTTTGTTAGTGCAGCATTCTTAGTTCTCTGCTTTTGTAAGCCAGAGAGCAAATAAATTTGTCTTCTGTGTTTTCAAGCTTAACATTCCAGAAAATATAATGGCTCATCTGAAGCACATGAATTCCCAACCACTGATGACTCTGCTTCTTACTTTAGAAGTGTGCTGTAGTTGAAGCAATGTGCTCACCTGGTCCTAGGAATCTGTCCTTTGACAAGATTTGTCTCTTGTTTTTCAATATACTCTTTTCCTTTCTCCCCCTCCTGTCTTCTCAGGGTTAGCGTATTATCTTAAAGGCAGATTCCCCCGATTTTAGCATTGCATATAATGCTAACTTGCATTTCATCTACAAGTAAGTTTTAAAGCTTCTTTCTGCTTTTCTCTATAAAAGCAGGTGATTAAAAGCTTGAACGTTACAACAATTAGACTTTTGTGTTGGGGTTAGGGACTGGAATAACATGGAAAGGTCTGTAATGACACAGAGAAGGGTATGTGCTTGACTTCCTTTTGCATAATTGAGGATTTGGCAAAAATCTTTTTGGATTTTCTTAAGAGCCTTACCATTGATAGGACTGTCATGATGTGATTTGTTACTCTACTGAAGCAGGGCTGGATCTCTCTCTCTTCCCCCTTCTCATACTTCGAGGGCTGTACTAAGTGATGACTGCAAATTGTCTGTGTTTCAGTGCTGTCACAAACAGGCAGATAGATACCCATGTGTATTAAGTTTCTGGAGTTTGAACAAAATCCAGGCTTTGTCTCTTGCGGGAACAGGCATGTTTTTGCGTCTGGAAAGTTGGAATCTGAGTGTTTGCTCCCAGCTTCTCACCTTTTACACAGCAAGAACAAGGGGCAGAAATTTCTAGCTGTTTTTTGAGGAGTAATACACTTGAAAAGGTGGAATGGGAATTGTAAAGTATGCAGTGAGGGGTATGTTTTGTCTTATGCAAGTGGGATATAGGTTAACTAGGGAAAAACAATGGAATAACCAGACAAGCAGTGGGAAGGTTCCCAAGAATACCAATGAAGTAACTCTTAGCTACAGGTCTTTAATATTAGAGAGAGAACATGTTTCTGAAATCCTGAATAGATATTATTGGAAGGAGATACATAGGAAAACATGAGAACTTGGAGAATGTTTTTCAAAGCTGAAGCTGTGTCACTATTTCTGTGAAATATTCATAGGACAGCATTCCTTCTTCCTACACTGGATCCAGATCAGCACTGATTTCCTTTCTTTTTCAGAGCTACTGCCTGCTTCACAATGCTACTGTATGACTTGCTGTTCTTGCTGTCTTTAAAGCTTCAGCTAGAGACTGGAGTGGTGGCGGAAATTAAGCAGAGCAGTGATTTAAAAAAAAAAAAAAAAAAAAAAAAGTGAAGAAAAATAAAATAATTGTAAACTGTTGAGTAAATTTAGTTGCATCCTAATGAACCATCCAAACGTGAGCCATACAGCTAACAAGTGGATATAACACAAGCTAAGTCTGTCACTTTGTTTTAATTAAATTTTACATCTTAATGATAAAAAAAGCAGTAAGAGGATAATGTTCTCTGGCAAATAATTCCCATGCTATAAGATAGTGTCCTGGGTTGAGTGAATGGTGGAGTTTTTTTGGTGGCAGGGGAGGGGGCTATCAGGGCAGCCCCCTGTGAGAAGCTTCTCGAAGCTCCCCCAGCTCCATGTCAGCTCCACTTCTGTTTGGGAAATTGAGCCAATCGGCTGTGCCTCTGCGATAACGTATTTAAGAAGGGACGTGGTGACGGGCAGTGGGACTGGTGAGGAGGAGTTGCTGCAGCTGCATGAACACCAAGGTCAGTGGAGGAACGGAGGAAGAAAGGAGGGGGGAGGTGTGCCGGAGCAGAGACCCCCCTGTATCCTGTGGGGAGACGGCAGGGCAGCCCCCCCTGCCACCCATGGAGATCTACGGTGGAGCAGACATTGATTTACGGCCTGTGGCTCCTGCTTGCCTGATCAAGGTTCTGTGCCAGAAGAAGGCCGGGGTCTCATGGGAAAAGGCAGCCCCGCTGCTGTAATTCAGTGCTGGGAGGATTGCAGCATGCGGGGGAGTCCCACGCCGGAGCAGCTCGGGAAGGGCTGCAGCCGTGGGAGGGAATCCAGTCGGAGGAAGTTAGTGACCCATGACGGAGCAGTGTGGGGAACGCTGCGGCCCGTGGGAGGAACTCAATTCGGAGAAAGTTTGTGGAGGACTGTCTGCTGTGAGAGGGGGACCACGATGGAGCAGGAGGAACAAGTTCCGGACACTCCCCTCACCGAAGATGAAGGAAGTGGCGGCGCTGACTGCACCCCCCATTCCCTGCCCCTGCGCCACTGGGGGAGGAGGTAGAGATATCGGGAGCAGAGCTGAGCCCGGGAAGAAGGGAGGGGT